TTTAGTTTTTCCTTGAGGCCTCAGGGAGATACAAAAAATAAATTTGTTTTAAGTGAATATTTTAAAATATCTACTGGAGAGTATTGGTTCTAATTATTTAAGCTCCTTCTGGATCATGGTGTTTGTAATACTAGTATAAATTTATTTATTTATTTATGACATAGCTATACATATGCTAAAGAAATGTAAGCTAGCAGATCTGCAAAACATCCTACTTATTTTCTTGCTTTTACTTTGGTCTTTTATTTTTGCTTTCCACTATTTTCATTTCTATTTATTGAAATTTTTTCAGTAGTAGGAAATGAGATTAAAACTGGAGCTTATTTGTCAAGTGTCAAGTTAAGCTATATTGACTTTTTCCTAAAAAATGTAACTTGTACAGTCCTAGTTAAAAGATGTACCGCATTCCCATTGGTGTTCATTGTTGAAAAGAATTTTGTCATTGCATCTTTAATATAAAATATTAAAGTACTCTTTACACAGAGTCATTGCAGACTGAACAGAATTAAAGATTTCTAATACCGGATACCTAGAGAAATCATATACACAGGAAATACTCAGCAGTTTATAGAAAGTATGTCAGCAAAGAGCCAAAGATTAGCACATTAAATGAGCAGAGAAAAAAGTTAAACTTTACATTCATTGCTGGTGAAATTGGGTAAGTTTCTCCTTTTCAAATTTGACTGAATACAATTTTTAACTGGGCACAGAAACTGATAGTAATTCATAGATTGACCACTCAAAATTTAGAAAATAGAGAGTGAACTTAAGACTGTACAAGACACTAACAGTTTTCTGACTTAAATGTTATTTTAAATACAAGCATCTCATGTTGAAAGTGCTCTGAATTTGAATTCAACTGCGTAATGATCGTAGAAGGTATGTTGAGGCTACCCAGAACTAATATGCTCCACCTATATTATATTTATAACTCTGGAGTGAGTAGCAATCAAATGGCTGCTTCATTAGATTGCTACTTTGATGATATTTTGGAAATTTAGTATGATTTTCACAGAATCACAGAATCGTTTAGGTTGGAAGGGAACTCTGGAGATCGTCTAGTCCAACCTCCCTGCTCAAGCATGTATTTTAAATATATATATTGTCATTCTTAAGAATGACAACAGACTAATACAGATGAATTTAATGTGAAAATCCTTTCTTTCCAGCCTGCATGCCATTAAGGATGAGATGTTTCTTAGACAAACCCTGCAACGTCGGTTGCTAGTGTTTAAAGGTACATCCCTCTGTGAGACCGTAAGTAAAGACAAGGCAACCAATTTATTGTGTTTAATGCTTTGTTTTTATTGAAAGTCATTCTGACCTTTCTGATAAAACAAAACATTGAAGCAGCTCCTACCATAAAGTCAAACAAACTTGATATTGAAAAATATGAAATGGCAAATGCGGCGAAGATAGAGTGTCAAATTTGGATATGCTCAGCTGCATGCAGTACAATCTTGTACACATAATTTTGTGTGCAGATAACACACAAAGTGTGCCTTTGCAGGAATACAGACAGCATTAGGTAAACATAATACCACTTTGCAATATATGAGTGAATCGTAATGGTAACTCTTTCTGTGAGTTAGTCTGTGAATCCAGCTGATAGAAGGTAGATGGATCAGAAACTGTAAGGCTTGGCATCTTTCTTACTCTGCAGGCTACTCAAGTTGTAAGTCATAAGCCAGCAGGGAGAGCAGCCCCTAGCAAGCCGTCTCTCCTTCTCCTATATCAGTGGGTAGAATGGTGGAGAGTGAAATGTTGGTCCTCCTTTCTTCTAGGGAAGTTAGATAGGGGAAAATATATTCAAATTTTGATACTGAGCTAGCAAAGATTGCTTTCTTCCTGGAGCAGTGGAGGAAGCTGAATAGTAATGTAGTCCTTCAGGTTTTAATTCAAACTCTTCTCTAAATTTCAGAAGAGTCTTAGTTCAGTCCTTTTTTGGATGGACCTGGGTTAGCACAACCTCATACTGTCTCCTACTCAGTTGAGGTTGTATTTTTAGAACTTAGACATACAAGACACTGTGCTTGGAGGAATTTAAGAAAATAATTTTGGCAAAACAGAAATAGAAGGTGTAAATGTTTAAAATTAATTTATTGCCTGGCAATAATGTCTTAAACAGCAAAATCACTTTTATTTGCTTCATATAGAGCTGTATGCGTTTGTCCCCTTTTGTGCTGTTCTGACAAGGTAGTGAGAACGTCGGTGAAAATGAACAAGGCTCAAGCTATGGTCAAGTCAAACTGAAAACATTTTGAGTTTATTATCACTGACATAATGACAGTTCAAACACAGTGTTGCGTTAACATAGTGCTCTCCATTGATTTTTTCCTCGAGTAAGATCATGTATCAAATTTGGGTGTGAATGTGTTCAACTCTCCGTGTAAAAGACACACAATTCAGGTATCGTCAAGCTAAAACATACCCCCCTAATTTAAGGATGGTTATGCAATGGTGCCAATTCCACATTGAGTTAGTCAACAAAATACTGCATCCTTTTTTAAGATCTTTTGTTAATATTGCTTACTTATTTATCAGTTTATGTCTTAAGCTACACTTTCTTGAAATTTGTTTAGCATGTAATTCATGTGTTACTTACAGATGTGTTTTCCTGTTTGTACTGAAAATGAAACACAAAATGTGCAAGGATTCAGAGGTGGCTTATATTTACCTTTAACTTTGGTATGTAACTAATTTTTTTCTTAATAGAAATGCTTTAATGTATTCTGTACATAAGAAAGTAATAGCACTTTTGACAATTTTGTGATGCAAAGGATAAGACGTTTATATATCCAGCAATCAACATTTGTCATTTGCACAATGGAAGATTGTTTCAGTGTGAGAGTTTATCAATGTCTGATAATCACTTGTTGCAGGCTTATGGATTTCCAGTTTCTCTACAATACGAATTATTGTTATTTAGATGTATTTTGTATAACTTTATTTTTCAAAATATTTAAAATATTCACATTTTCTGAATTTTTATGTACAAATCATATTATAGTGATTGTGATCAGATGCATATAATAACAGATATTTGTGTAAAGCATGCCAGACTGAGTTTAAAAAAAAAAGAAATAAAAGAAAAAAAGAAAATAAATCAGCCTTTCTGGTTGCAATTATAATCACCTGTGTATGAACTGAAATAGCATTATCTCAGTGGGTAACAAGACCACTGTAAGCCTGATTCATCTACTACCAAAATAAGTGGGAAGACCAAAAAGATGTATATGAGGCATGAATGGCATTTTAGAGGTATGAATAACACTTGTTACCTAACCAGTAACAGTGAAACTTGTCTTGCTAACTTTTAAGGGTAATACCTAAATCGTAATGGGAAAATTGTCTGATTACTTCAGAGATAGTTCTAATACGTGCTCACAAATATAATCCTCATGAGAAATATATGTCACTCAGTTGGAATTATTGATTGAAGTTTTGATATTTAACATGGGATCATAAATAGCCTATGTGGTACAAATATTTATGGTAGAAAACGACAGGGATGCGAAGGCCAAGATAGCATGAAATATTCAGAAAAAAATTGCTATACTTAATTATAAGGATAGTAAGGAATAAAATATTGTTCAGATTGCTATAAATAATTACAGAAAAGGTACCAAGGTTACAAAAATAATCTGAGCTTTCATTTAACAAACAATTCAGATAAAGAACAATTCGTAGAGACAGGCACTCTGAACTGTCTCAATTCAACTCTCTTAACAAGTCTGTAACAGTAATTGCGAAAGATAAACCGACTTTCAGATGTTTCTCTCAGAAAAGGACATGAAAATATCTTAGCCTTATTCTTATAAAATGTGAAATGATTTAAAAAGAATATTAGACTTTTCATAAAAGTACAAAATGCTCAAAATTACGAATAATAGTAGTCTACACAGTATAGTAGTGTGTCAGTATTTTTAACAACAGTCAAATTCAATGTATCTGTAACTGTATGACCTTCATTATAGAATAAATTATTGAGCTGACTGAAGCTAATTTCTTAAAAAAGTTTATAAAAATGTACCCTATTGATGTCATAACAAATTGCCAGTAAGATTTATTTACAGAAATATATGTGTATACATACACACAAATATTCAATTCTTCCTATGTTATCATGCTAAAAAGACATGTATGGAACTATTCTAGTTCTCAAAGCCCAGTGGAAATACTTATGCTTATGTTAATAAAAATTGAGTGACACCCTAAAATGGTCTCTCAAGAACTAAGGCCATACTAGGTTTGGTTTATATGGTAGTTGCTGAAATATCTTTCCGTGTTTTTTGCAAGAACTCACTGCTAAGCTAAGTGTCTAAACTGGTTATATAATGTCTCATTTCCTTATTTTATAGGATTTTAGTGTTTCTTTGTTGGAAGAACAGTTTTAATTTATTTCTTTTTCTTATATTTCAAATAAACTGAACTGTAACTTGGCTTTCTAGTTATTTAGTTAGCCAATAGGTTATGATCAGTCTTAATAGGAAAATATTTCTCCTCTAGCCTCCAATACAATCCCAGTTTACTGATCAGCAGAAAGAAGGTGAAGCTAATTTTCTTAGACTTATAAATGCAACAAAAAGGGAAGATGGTAAGTGTGAATTTTGTGATGCATAGTAACATACTCTGCAATTTAAGTAGTGGTGGTTGTTCTCAGACACTTGATCCCTGAGGCAATCTTATTCCTGGAAACATAGCTGCTCTGTGATTGCTAAATAATAGCATAAAGGGCAGCCATGAAGAAAGAGGTGTTATATTGTATTTCACAGTACTTTGCCTCTTCTGAGTAACCATCTCCTTTTTCCCTATGCAGAAGGCTAAAAAAGTGATGGACTTAAAGAGAATAGATATGGTTAAATTTAAAAGAAGTTGGATCTATTATATTTGGTGGCACTCTTGCTGGGGGTGACTCTTTTATAAGACCTAGAATTCAGGTGGAGGGGTTTCTTTGGGGGGAAAAAATGAATTATCCTATTTCCAAGTCTTAAAATATGGTTTTCTCAGAGAGATACAATTCTATTATTCAGGGTACAGAATTAGAACTCTTGGAAGGAGCTTCTAAGAGAACGCTTTATTATGACTACATAGTTAGGGTTGTTTGGGATGCCTGTGTTTTTGTTGTGACCCTTCCAGTTGAATGTGAGGTGGTGTGCATCCTCAGTATGTAGATAAAAGTCTAATTGCTTCAATGACTGGTGGTTTCGTGCCAAAAAAACCCAACAACACTAGTTTCCTTTACTCTACAAAGACTGTCTAACAGATGCATAACCCTTTCAGGTACCTACCAAGCGGGAGCTTGTCCAGCTAGGCACTGTTTGGAGCATTTATTTCTTTATTTATTGGTAATAGACAATGTTTCTGGGAATTTCTGCCAAGTTTTGTGTCATCCGAAACAGACTGCCCATATCGTAGGAGTCTCCTCATGAACCAAACATAAAACACAGTAGATAAAACTATGTAAATGTTCATGAAGATGTACTTATTATATTCAACAGTTGATGCTAAGTGCAAATAAGCAGTAACAAAGTTAAGTAAGATTTAATTAAAGAGACTTGAAAACAGGGATATAAACAACTCATTTCACTTGAAAGGACCAAGATTAAAAACAAAGCTGTGCAATATTAGTTTTTTAGACCATCTGATTATTGTTAAAGGAGGAAGTCCGCCAGTAATTCAGTTTGATCGTTTCAACACAAGGAGCGCACAGTCTTCTAGCAGTCTTGCCTCACCTGAGGTCCTTATCTCACTGAACTACACAAATGGATCCCAGCAAGTGCAGCTGATTTAAAGGTTTCTTTTGAAGCAAGTTCTGGCTGCTATGTTTCATGGTTAGAAAATGACTCAGACAGAGGAGTCTGTCTCTAAGAAGAAACACCTCTTCTTATGGAGCACAATTGTTCATGTTTATCGGAGATTTGCAGGCTGTTTTTTCTTTCCCTCCTTTTCTCACATAAAAATTATGACTGTCTGTCTGCCTGTACAAAAGGATTCTCAACTATCTTCTTTTCTTATCTCCTTTTCTCAATCTCTGGCAGGTACAGCAAACTGCTACTCTTTTGAGACTGATTTGGAGAGCTGCTTGGTTAGCTGTTACCTTCTTTCTGCCACCATTATTACAATAATTTCTGTCTAAGTTTTTCACAGATGATGAATAGAAGAAGACCAGGCGTAATGGATTTCATGATTCTTGGACTGTCAAAATGTAGTCTCTGAATCCATCCCATGCCCAGGAGCCAGATGTTATTTTAGCAGTCTTTGCATTCTCTTGCTTTTCAAAGTCTCTGGGTAAGACAGAGGCCAAGGGGTTTACTAAAATAAAACACTAATGCAAATG